TACCTGGGGATACACCTGAGCACACCTGGAGATACCTGGGGATACCTCAGGATACCTGAGGATACACCTGGGCACACCTCAGGATACCTGGAGATACACCTGGACATACCTAGGGGCACCTGGAGATACCTCAGGATACCTGGGGGCACACCTGGGCACACCTGGGGATACACCAGAGCACACCTGGGGATAGCTGGGGTACACCTGGGCACACCTGGGGATACCTCAGGATACCTAGGGGCACACCTGGGAACAGCTGGGAATACCTGGGGGCACACCTGGGGGCACCTGGGGATACCTGGGGACATCTAAAGAAATACCTGGGGAGCACCTGAATCTCTCCAGTTGTCCCACTTGATCCCCTTCAGCCCCCCACCACAAAGACCCCAGATCCCCCAAACCCCCCAGGACCCTCAAATCCATCCCAAAATGCCCTAAAAAAAAAAAAAAAAAAAATCCAAAAAATCCCCAAATCCACCCCAAAATTAAAAAAAAAAAATCCCCAAAATTAAAAAAAAAAAAAAAAAAAACCAAAAATGCCCAAATTCACCCCAAAACCCCCAAACCCACACTCACTGTCGTTGGCGTTGTCAGCTCCGGGTTCGGTGCCCCCCTGGGACCCCCCGGGGGGACCCCCGAGGGTGGGGCCGTAGGGTTGGGGGAGGGGCAGGAGCCCCCCTCCCCCCCCCGGCACCAGCTCCGGACGGGGACCCCCTGGACCCCTCTGCTCGGCCTCTGCACCCCAAAAAAACCCAAAATCAGAGATTGAAAACCCCCAAAAAAGCCCCAAAATCAGAAACTGAACCTCAAAACCACCCAGTACCCCCCAGTGCCCCCCCAGTGCCCCCACCTTGGCACAGAGCCAGTCCTCGTTGATTTTGGGTTTGGGGTCGCTGTAGTGCAGGGACACGCGGTGCCCCAGCAGGGTCAGCCCGGCCTGGGGGGCACAGGGAGGTCAGGGGGGGCACAGGGACACGCGATGCCCCAACCTGGCCCAGGGGGGCACAGGGGGGCACCAGGGCACAAATCTGGGGGGCACCAGGGCTGGAATTGGGGGACACCGAGGTTTGAGGTGGGGACACCAGAGCTTGTCCTGAGGAGCACCAGGGCTGGAATTTGGGGACACCTGGGGGGCACCAGATGAATCTGGGGGGCACCTGGGGGGCACCAGGAGATGAATCTGGGGGGCACCTGGGGGGCACCAGGACACAAATCTGGGGGGCACCTGGGGGGCACCAGGACACAAATCTGGGGGAGCACCAGGGGGGCACCTGGGGGGCACCAGGGCTGGAATTTGGGGACACCTGGGGGGGCACCAGGACATGAATCTGGGGGAACACCAGGGCTGGAATTTGGGGACACCAGGACTCGTTTTGAGGGGCACCAGGGGAGCACACGGGGAACGCAAACCCATAAATCTGTGAGGTACCAAGCCGGGCACCAGGACATGAAATGGGGGCACCCACCCCTGGGTGCTCCTGGGGAGGGGTCTGGGGAGGGGGCTGGCACCCCTGGGTGCCCCCTGTGCTAGGCTCAGCACCCCTGGGTGCTCCTGGGGACAGGACTGGCACCCCTGGGTGCCCCTGGGGACAGGACTGGCACCCCTGGGTGCCCCCTGAGCTGGGTTCAGCACCCCTGGGTGCTCCTTGGGAAGGGTCTGGCACCTCTGGGTGCCCCTTAGGCTGAACATGGGGACAGTTCTGGCGTCCCTGGCTTTGGATCTGGCACCCCTGGGTGCCCCCCGAGTCTGGCACAGCACCCCTGGGTGCTCCTGAAGAGGGGACAAGCACCCCCGGGTGCTCCTGAGAAATGGACAAGCACCCCTGGGTGCTCCTAAGGGGACAAAGAACATCTCTGGGTGCTCCCTAAGGATGAGAATGGCACCCCTGGGTGCCCCTAAAAATGAGATCAACAGCCCTGGGTACCCCCTGAGTCTGGTGCAGCACCCCTGGGTGCTCCTGAGAAGAGGACAAGCACCCCTGGGTGCCCCTAAAGAGGAAATTGACACCCCTGGGTGCCCCTAGAGAAGGGATCAGCACCCCTGGGTGCTCCTGAGGGACTGACACCTCTGGGTGCCCCTAGAGACAGCACTGGCACCCCTGGGTGCCCCTATGGAGTGGACCAGCACCCCTGGGTGCCGCTAGGAATGGGACCAGCACCCCTGGGTGCCCCCCAAGTCTCGTGCAGCACCCCTGGATGTCCCTAGAGATGAGACTGGCACCCCTGGGTGCCCCTAGGGAGGGGACAGGCAGTCCTGGGTGCTCCTAAAGACAGGATGGGCACCCCTGGGTGCTCCCTAAAGAGAAACCTGGCACCCCTGGGTGCCCCTGGGGAAATGAAGAGCACCCCTGGGTGCTCCTGGGGAGGGGACAGACACCCCTGGGTGTCCCTGGGGAATGGTATCAGCACCCCTGGGTGCCCCTGGCAATGGGATCAGCGGCCCTGGTGCCCTTCCAGTCCTGTGCAGCACCCCTGGGTGCCCCTTGGAAGGGATTGGCACCTCTGGGTGCCCCTAAGGGTGGCATCAGCACCCCTGGGTGTCTTCAGGAAGAGAACAGACACCCCAGCTGTCTCTGAGGAAGGTGACCAGCACCCCTGGGTGCTCCTAGAGATGGCATTGGCACCCCTGGGTGCCCCTGGGGAGGGGACCAGCACCCCTGGGTGCCACCAGAGAGAGGAGGGGCACCCCTGGGTGCCCCCTGAGTCTGGTAGAGCACCCCTGGGTGCCCCTAGGGAGGGAACTGACACCCCTGGGTGCCCCTGGGGATGGGACCAGCACCCCTGGGTGCTCCTGAGAATGAGACAAGCACCCCTGGGTGCCCTTAAAAAGAAGATCAGCACCTCCAGGTACCTCTAAAATGAAACTCAGCACCCCTGGGTGCCCCCTAAACCTGCCAGAAGCACCCCTGGGTGCTCCTAGAAATGAGACTGACACCCCTGGGTGCCCCTAAAGATGGAACCAGCACCCCTGGGTGCCCCTAGGGAGGGGACAGGCACCCCTGGGTGCCCCTAAGGAGGGGACAGGCACCCCTGGGTGCCCCTAGGGAGGGGACCAGCACCCCTGGGTGCCCCTAAGGAGGGGACAGGCACCCCTGGGTGCCCCTAAGGAGGGGACAGGCACCCCTGGGTGCCCCTAGGGAGGGGACAGGCAGTCCTGGGTGCTCCTAAAGACAGGATGGGCACCCCTGGGTGCTCCCTAAAGAGAAACCTGGCACCCCTGGGTGCCCCTGGGGAAATGAAGAGCACCCCTGGGTGCTCCTGGGGAGGGGACAGACACCCCTGGGTGTCCCTGGGGAATGGTATCAGCACCCCTGGGTGCTCCTGGCAATGGGATCAGCGGCCCTGGTGCCCTTCCAGTCCTGTGCAGCACCCCTGGGTGCCCCTTGGAAGGGATTGGCACCTCTGGGTGCCCCTAAGGGTGGCATCAGCACCCCTGGGTGTCTTCAGGAAGAGAACAGACACCCCAGCTGTCTCTGAGGAAGGTGACCAGCACCCCTGGGTGCTCCTAGAGATGGCATTGGCACCCCTGGGTGCCCCTGGGGAGGGGACCAGCACCCCTGGGTGCCACCAGAGAGAGGAGGGGCACCCCTGGGTGCCCCCTGAGTCTGGTAGAGCACCCCTGGGTGCCCCTAGGGAGGGAACTGACACCCCTGGGTGCCCCTGGGGATGGGACCAGCACCCCTGGGTGCTCCTGAGAAGAGGACAAGCACCCCTGGGTGCCCCTAAAGAGGAAACTGACACCCCTGGGTGCCCCTAGAGAAGGGATCAGCACCCCTGGGTGCTCCTGAGGGACTGACACCTCTGGGTGCCCCTAGAGACAGCACTGGCACCCCTGGGTGCCCCTATGGAGTGGACCAGCACCCCTGGGTGCCGCTAGGAATGGGACCAGCACCCCTGGGTGCCCCCCAAGTCTCGTGCAGCACCCCTGAATGTCCCTAGAGATGAGACTGGCACCCCTGGGTGCCCCTAGGGAGGGGACAGGCAGTCCTGGGTGTTCCTAAAGACAGGATGGGCACCCCTGGGTGCTCCCTAAAGAGAAACCTGGCACCCCTGGGTGCCCCTGGGGAAATGAAGAGCACCCCTGGGTGCTCCTGGGGAGGGGACAGACACCCCTGGGTGTCCCTGGGGAATGGTATCAGCACCCCTGGGTGCCCCTGGCAATGGGATCAGCGGCCCTGGTGCCCTTCCAGTCCTGTGCAGCACCCCTGGGTGCCCCTTGGAAGGGATTGGCACCTCTGGGTGCCCCTAAGGGTGGCATCAGCACCCCTGGGTGTCTTCAGGAAGAGAACAGACACCCCAGCTGTCTCTGAGGAAGGTGACCAGCACCCCTGGGTGCTCCTAGAGATGGCATTGGCACCCCTGGGTGCCCCTGGGGAGGGGACCAGCACCCCTGGGTGCCACCAGAGAGAGGAGGGGCACCCCTGGGTGCCCCCTGAGTCTGGTAGAGCACCCCTGGGTGCCCCTAGGGAGGGAACTGACACCCCTGGGTGCCCCTGGGGATGGGACCAGCACCCCTGGGTGCTCCTGAGAATGAGACAAGCACCCCTGGGTGCCCTTAAAAAGAAGATCAGCACCTCCAGGTACCTCTAAAATGAAACTCAGCACCCCTGGGTGCCCCCTAAACCTGCCAGAAGCACCCCTGGGTGCTCCTAGAAATGAGACTGACACCCCTGGGTGCCCCTAAAGATGGAACCAGCACCCCTGGGTGCCCCTAGGGAGGGGACAGGCACCCCTGGGTGCCCCTAGGGAGGGAACAGGCAGCCTTGGGTGTCCCTAGGGAGGGAACAGGCAGCCTTGGGTGTCCCTAGGGAAGGGACAGGCACCCTTGGGTGCCCCTAGGGAACAAGACCACCCCCCTGGGATGCCCCCTGGCAGGGCAGGGACCCTTCTCCCTCCAAGGGACCCGGATGTCAGGGGGCCCCCACCCTAAAGAGAGCCCAGGTGTGATGGATGGGGAGCCCAGGTGAGCAGGGGAGGGGCTCAGGTGAGCAGGAAGGGCCCAGGTGGGCAGGGGAAGGGCCCAGGGGAGCAGGGGAGGGGATTAGGTGAGCAGGGGAGGGGCCCAGGTGAGCAGGAGGGGCTCAGGTGAGCAGGGACCCCAAATCCTGGACTCACCTGAGGACTTGTTGCGCATCAGCCGCACCTCACGGGGCTGCACCCCCTGCGCCTGCAGCTGTGCCCGGATCTGCGGGGACACGGGGACATGGGGACACGGTGACACAGTGACACAGCACCTGGGACACGGCACAGCACCCATGGGGACACGGTGACACCAGCTGGGACATGGCACAGCACCCATGGGGACATGGGGACACGGTGACACCACCTGGGACATGGCACAGCACCCACGGGGACGCGGGGACACGGTGACACAGCACCTGGGACATGGCACAGCACCCATGGGGACACGGGGACATGGTGACACAGCACCTGGGACATGGCACAGCACCCATGGGGACACGGTGACACGGTGACACAGCACCTGGGACATGGCACAGCACCCATGGGGACATGGGGACACCACCTGGGACATGGCACAGCACCCACGGGGACACGGGGACACGGTGACACAGCACCCATGGGGACACAGGACAGTGGCCGTGTCACCTAAGACACAGGGACAGTGCCTGGAAGGGACATGGAGCCATCATGGCAGGGGGCGGGGCCACAGCAAAGAGGGGCGGGGCCATCCCAAACAAGGGGCGGAGCCATCCCAGAAGTCAGAAGTGCCATTACAGCAGGGGGCGGGGCTATGACAAAGAGGGGTGTGGCCATCTGAACTAGGGGGTGGAGCCATGATGAAGAGGGGTGTGGCCATCTGAGCTAGGGGGCGGGGCCATGATGAAGAGGGGTGTGGCCATCTGAGCTATGGGGCGGGGCCATGATGAAGAGGGGTGTGGCCATCTGAGCTAGGGGTGGAGCCATGATGAAGAGGGGTGTGGCCATCTGAGCTATGGGGCAGGGCCATGATGAAGAGGGGTGTGGCCATCTGAGCTAGGGGTGGAGCCATGATGAAGAGGGGTGTGGCCATCTGAGCTAGGGGTGGAACCATGATGAAGAGGGGTGTGGCCATCTGAGCTAGGGGTGGAGCCACGATGAAGAGGGGTGTGGCCATCCAAGCTAGAGGTGGGGCCATTATGAAGAAGGGTGTGGCCATCTGAGCTAGGGGTGAAGCCATGATGAAGAGGGGTGTGGCCATCTGAGCTAGGGGTGGAGCCACGATGAAGAGGGGTGGGGCCATCTGATCTAGGGGGTCGGGCCATTATGAAGAAGGGTGTGGCCATCCAAGCTAGGGGGTTGGGCCATGATGAAGAGGGGTGGGGCCATCTAATCTAGGGGTGGGGCCATGATGAAGAGGGGAGTGGCCATCCAAACTAGGGTGCGGGCCCCAGATTGAGATGGGGCACTGCAGATGGAGTGGGGCCATCCCAGCTGGGGGGCGTGGCCACAGCAGGAGGGGGCGTGGCCATCCAGGGAGGGGGCGGGGCTCACGTCGTTCTCGGTGGCCGCCTGGGGCAGCATGCGCAGCATGACGATGGTGCTGGCCCGCGGCTCCTCCTCGGCGCCCTCCCGGTAATCCTGGTCCCGGTAATCGCCGTCAGCGCCGAACGGCAGCGCCGGGGGGTCCCGGGGGGGATCCCGGGGGGGTTCCCGCTTCCGGGGGGGCTCCGTGTTCTCGTAGGACGTCTGGAATGGGGCAGGGAGGGGTCCTGTTAGAGCCCCAGCCACTGGAAATTTTAAATTCTCTGCAATATGAAATACTAACCCCTCAAAAAATACTGCCCTTAAACTGAAATTTTAAAGAAAACGTCCAAAATAAACTAAAAAAACTAAGATCATAAGTATGTAATTGAAATAAAAACACGTAATGTCCTATGAAAAAAACCTTACGGTTTAAAGTTCTATAACACAGTAACACATACGTAAAAATGTTTTAAAACAAAAGCTGTTCTTTGTCTCTCACTTTCTTCATCATAAATTTAAGTAATATTTTAAAGTTAGGTAAAAAAGCCCGTATTACAAACCACAATTAATTAGTTATTGAATTAGAACTAAAAAACAATTCAAGTATAGCTTCTTAAATAAATATACTATCCTTAAAAAAACACAAAGAATTATTTTTATTATATTTATTAAAACTATTTCTCTATGTTCATATGTTTATGTACTGCATATTTTAAAATGCATTGTAGAATATATTTCTGTGTATTTTATACATTTGTATGTTTATATACTTAGCACATTTACATATCACCAGTTCATTGTTATTTCCTAAAATTGATTATTTCATTAGACTTCTAGTTTATTCCACTAAAACTCCATGAAACTCCCAACTTACAAAGCCACAACGTGAATAAAAAATAAACATAAATAAAATCTAACAAACAGCTAACTCCAAACAAAAAACACCATCTCGCACATTTAATCCGACAAAATAAAAAACAAAACTCCCCAGGCTCCCGGCAGCCGCCTGAGCCCCCTCCCCAGCAGCCAGCACCCACCTGAGGAGGGGTCCCGGCAGCGGGGGGCCCCTCGGGGGGTCCCCCGTAGCCGCGATAGTCCATGTCGCGATAGTCGTGGTCACGCTGGGCGCGGGAGCCGTCCTCGGAGGGGGGCGGGGCGCCCCCGTAACGCCCCGTGCGGTCCCCACGGCCACCCCTGGGGGAGGGGCGGCTGGGCCAGGGGGGGCCAAACAGGGACCCCAATATGGACCCAAAGATGGACCCCAAATCTGGACCCAAAGATGGACCCCAAACATGGACCCGAATATGGACCCCAAATATGGACCCAAATATGGACACAAATGTGGACCCCAAATATGGACCTAAATATGGACCCCAAATCCTGGATCCCAAATATGGAGCCCAAATCTGGACCCCAATATGGACCCGAAATATGGACCTGAAATACGGACCCCAATATGGACACAAATATGGACTCCAAATTTGGACCCAAATATGGACCCCAATATGGACCCCAATATGGACCCCAAATATGGACCCCAATATAGAACCCAAATACAAATATGGACACAAATATGGACCCAAATACGGACCCCAAAGATGGACCCCAAATCTGGACCCAAACATGGACACAAATATGGACACAAATATGGACTCCAAATTTGGACCCAAATATGGACCCCAATATGGACCCCAAATCTGGACCCAAACATGGACACAAATATGGACACAAATATGGACTCCAAATTTGGACCCAAATATGGACCCCAAATATGGACCCCAATATGGACCCCAAATCTGGACCCAAACATGGACACAAATATGGACACAAATATGGACTCCAAATTTGGACCCAAATATGGACCCCAAATATGGACCCCAATATGGACCCCAAATCTGGACCCAAACATGGACACAAATATGGACACAAATATGGACTCCAAATTTGGACCCAAATATGGACCCCAAATATGGACCCCAATATGGACCCCAAATCTGGACCCAAACATGGACACAAATATGGACACAAATATGGACCCAAATACGGACCCCAAAGATGGACCCCAAATACGGACCCCAAATATAGACACAAATATGGACCCCAAATATGGACCAAAATATGGACCCAAATATGGACCTCAAATATGGACCCCAATATGGACACAAATATGAACGCCAAATATGGACCCCAAACACAGACCCCAAATACGGACCCCAATATGGACACAAATATGGACACCAAATCTGGACCTAAATATGGACCCCAAATCCTGGATCCCAAATATGGAGCCCAAATCTGAACCCCAAATACGGACCCCAAATCTGAACCTCAAATATGAATCCAAATATGGAACCCAAATACGGACCCCAAATACGGACCCCAAATATGGACCCAAACGTGGACCCCAAACATGGACCCAAACATGGACCCAAATCTGGACCCCAATATGGACCCAAATCTGGACCCCAATATGGACCCCAAATCCGCATAAGAAATCTGAACCCCAGATCCTGGACTCCAAATCTGAACCCCAAATCCTGGATCCCAAATATGGACCTCTAATATGGACCCCAAATATGGACCTTAAATCTGCACAACAAATCTGAACCCCAAATCTGCACCTCAAATCCTGGGCCCCAAATCTGCACAACAAATCCTGGACTCTAAATCTGCACCCTAAATCCTGGACCCCAAAATCCGAACACCAAATCCTGGACTCCAAATCTACACCTCAAATCCTGGACCCCAAATCTTCACCCTAAATCCTGGACCCCTATTTCTGGACCCCAAATCCTGACCTCAAATCTGCAGCTCAAACGTGGACTCCCAAATCTGCAGAACAAATCCTAAACCCCTATTCCTGGACCCCAAATTCTGCATCCAAAATCTGCACAACAAATCCTGGGCCCCAAATCCTGGACCCCAAATCCTGGGCCCCAAATCCTGACACCAAATCCTGGACTCCAAATCTGAACCCCAAATCCTGGATCCCAAATATGGACCTCTAATATGGACCCCAAATATGGACCTTAAATCTGCACAACAAATCTGAACCCCAAATCTGCACCTCAAATCCTGGGCCCCAAATCTGGACCCCAAATATGGACCTAAATATGGACACAAATATGTACCCCAATATGGACCCCAAATATGGACCCGAATATGGACCCCAAATCTGGACCCCAATATGGACCCCAAATCCGCATAAGAAATCTGAACCCCAGATCCTGGACTCCAAATCTGAACCCCAAATCCTGGATCCCAAATATGGACCTCTAATATGGACCCCAAATATGGACCTTAAATCTGCACAACAAATCTGAACCCCAAATCTGCACCTCAAATCCTGGGCCCCAAATCCTGACCCCAAATCTGCACCTCAAATCCTGGGCCCCAAATCTGCACAACAAATCCTGGACTCTAAATCTGCACCCTAAATCCTGGACCCCAAAATCCGAACACCAAATCCTGGACTCCAAATCTACACCTCAAATCCTGGACCCCAAATCTTCACCCTAAATCCTGGACCCCTATTTCTGGACCCCAAATCCTGACCTCAAATCTGCAGCTCAAACGTGGACTCCCAAATCTGCAGAACAAATCCTAAACCCCTATTCCTGGACCCCAAATTCTGCATCCAAAATCTGCACAACAAATCCTGGGCCCCAAATCCTGGACCCCAAATCCTGGGCCCCAAATCCTGACACCAAATCCTGGACTCCAAATCTGAACCCCAAATCCTGGATCCCAAATATGGACCTCTAATATGGACCCCAAATATGGACCTTAAATCTGCACAACAAATCTGAACCCCAAATCTGCACCTCAAATCCTGGGCCCCAAATCCTGACCCCAAATCTGCACCTCAAATCCTGGGCCCCAAATCTGCACAACAAATCCTGGACTCTAAATCTGCACCCTAAATCCTGGACCCCAAAATCCGAACACCAAATCCTGGACTCCAAATCTACACCTCAAATCCTGGACCCCAAATCTTCACCCTAAATCCTGGACCCCTATTTCTGGACCCCAAATCCTGACCTCAAATCTGCAGCTCAAATGTGGACTCCCAAATCTGCAGAACAAATCCTGAACCCCTATTCCAGGACCCCAAATTCTGCATCCAAAATCTGCACAACAAATCCTGGGCCCCAAATCCTGGACCCCAAATCCTGGGTCCCAAATCCTGACCCCAAATCCTGGACTCCAAATCTGAACCCCAAATACTGGACCCCAAATATGGACCTCAAATCTGCACAACAAATCTGAACCCCAAATCCTGGACCCCAAATCCTGGGTCCCAAATCCTGACCCCAAATCCTGGACTCCAAATCTGAACCCCAAATACTGGACCCCAAATATGGACCTCAAATCTGCACAACAAATCTGAACCCCAAATCCTGACCCCAAATGTGGACCCCAAATGTGGACCCCAAATCCTGGACCCCAAATCCTGACCCCAAATCCTGGACTCCAAATCTGAACCCCAAATCCTGGACCCCAAATGTGGACCCCAAATGGCTCCTTCCACCCCCTGGGGCGCCCAAAGTCCCAAATGTCCCCTCATCCCTCCCCCCCATGGCATCCCCAAATGTCCCCTCACCTCCCCAAAATTTTAAATTTCATTTCCTGGGGTCCTCAACAGCTGCCCAGATGTTCCCACCCCCCTCCACCACTCCCGAATTTTGGGGATCCCCAGGTTCCCCCTCACCTGCGCTCGTACTCCATGGCGCCAGCACCTGTGAGGGCAAAAACTGGTCAGACTGGGAGGAACTGGGAGTTACTGGGATGGACTGGGTTCAATGGGAAGAGAACTCAATGAACTGGAAAGAACCGGGATGGACTGGGAAGAATAACTGGAAAATTTTATGGAAAAATGGGAAAGCCAAAAGGGGAACAAGGGGGGAGCTGGGATGAACTGAGCCCTGTGCAGGGGAGGAGGAGCAGACACCACCCTCATGCCCCGCCCCTAATTAGCATACACTGCCACGCCCCGTAATTAACATACAACACCCCGCCCCTTAATTAGCATAAGGATTCCAGCCCCGGGTCCCGCTCTCACACCCCCTCCCTCACGAACTGCACCGGGAGTTCCGTTCAGCCCCGCCCCTCCCGGTCAGCCCCGCCCCTTCCGGTAGGCCACTCCTCTCCCCACAGATCCCTCCCCATCCCGGCCAGGCCCGTTCCGCCCCTCACGGCCGTCCCGACCTTCCCCGGCGCCGCCGCCGCGTCCGCCGCCGCTCTCCGGCCCCAAAATGGCGGCGCCGCTCCCGCTCAGCCGGGCCCGTCCCGCGCGCCCGCCCTCGCCGCGCTCCCATTGGTCAGTGCTCCCGCCAGTCAAAAAACTCTGCGTTCTTATTAGTCCATACTGTAGAGGGGGCGGTGCAGCTTTACGACTGGCTATGATTGGCTGCGGAGCAAAAGTAGGCGAGGCCACAGTGAGGGAGTGGGCAGGACAAACTAAGCACAGCGCTGTGATTGGCTGTGCGGCGCGGAGGCGGGGCGAAACGCCAATGCGAGGTCGCGATTGGCCGGCTTGAACGGAAGAGGAGAGGCGGAGCGGCGGGGCAAGATGGCGGCGCTGTGGCGGGCGCTGCGGGCGCTACGGGCGCTGCCCGCCGGGGCTCGGGGCCGCTCGGCGGGGTCACCCGGGGCCGTGGCGCTGCCGCGGCCGCTCGGAGCCGACGCGCACGACGAGGAGCCGATGTTGGTGGCGCAGAAGAAGGTGAGCGGCCAAGGGCAAAGCGGGAGGGGCGGGGCGGGGTTTGTGTGGGGACGGTGGGGGCGTGGTCGGTCCTGGAGGAGGGGCTGGGACACACCTGGGGGTCCTGGGGGAGGGGCTGGGACATACCTGGGGGTCCTGGAGGAAGGGCTGGGACACACCTGGGGGTCCTGGAGGAGGGGCTGGGGCACACCTGGGGGTCCCTGGGGCTCACGGGACCCTCCCCCGCACAGAACCCCGACTATCATGGCTTCTCGGCCGACCCCGACGCCGACGTGCTGAACATGCGCGCCGCCTTCCTGGCCGGCATCTCCATCGCCATCGTCCTCGGCTCCGTCTTCGTGCATTACCTGCCCGACTACGGGTCCGTGAGCGGGGGGTCTCACCTGGGAAACCCCCCACGGTGAAGGGGGGAGGGGGGCAGCCACAAGGGGAGCTCCTGGCGGAGCTATGGAGGGGCTCTCAAGTACATTTTTGGGGTTTTTAGGATTTTTTGGGGGGTCTGTGGGTGTTGTAGGGTCTCCTGAGAGTTTTGTAGGAGCTTCCAAGGGAATTCCAACAAGGCCTTTTGTACAGCCTGTAGGGGTTTCTATTATTTGGGGCTTTTGGGGTCTGTAGGGCCCTTTGCAGCTCTGGGGGTGTCTATAGGAGCCCATAGGGGACCTGGGAGAGGACTGAGGGGTCTACAGAGCCCTGTGGGGGAGCTATAGGAGACTGGGGGGGATTAGGGTGGACTCTGGGGGACTTACGGGGACCTATAGGGACACCTGGGCCATTCAGGAGGAGGGTTTGCACACCTGGGAGGGAGTTTGGGATGTCCCCAAGGTGTGGGGCTCACCTGTCCGTCCCCTTCCCCGCAGGCTGCAGCAGTGGGCGCGGCGCGAGGCCGAGATCCTGGTGCGGGAGCGGGAGCGCCAGGGGCTGCCCCTGCTCACCTCCAACTACTACGACCCCAAGCGCCTCCCCCTGCCCCCCCCGGAGTGACCCTCAGACCTCCGGAGTGACCCCGGACCCCGCTGTTGGTTTGTGAATAAAGCTCTGGGTCCCCCCCCCGACTCCTGCGCCTTTTATTTTGGGGGTAGGAAGGATAAACTACATCTCCCAGCGGCCCCTGCGGCTCCGTGACGTCACCAGGCAGCGACACGCGGAAATGGCTCTCTGGCCCTCGCGGTTTCTCCTCTATACTCAATAGCCTACATCTCCCAGCGGACCTTGCGGCTCTGTGACGTCACCAGGCAGCGACACCACGCGGAAATGGCGCTTTGGTCCTCGCGGCCCCTCCCATGTGCCCCTATAGCGCCCACAGCCCCTCTAGGCCTCCCATGGCTCCCTACGGCCACTCAAGCCCCACATAACCTGCGGGTGAGCCCCCCTAGGGCTCTGGAGACCCCCGAGGCTCCCCACGCTCCCCCTGGGCTGCCGCAGAGCCCCCTCGGGCCCCTATAGCCCCCTCAGGTCCTCCTCACGCTCCTGTGTGTAGCCCCTGTGCCTCTGAGGGTCCCCCTCAGGCTTCTGTAGGTTCCTGCATTACTTCGGATGCCTTTATTTAATTTTTTCTCGGTAGTTCTACAAAGTTGTGTAATTCGGCATGACACTACGTAAAGTCTTCCGCGGTTTCCTGTGGGCTCCTTAACCGCTCCTAGGAACCTCTGATCGTCCCCTATAACCCCCCAAAAACCCCGCTTAGATCCCCATAGCCCCCCACAGGCCCCTACAGCTCCCAGACCCCCAGTATACACCCAGAGCCCCCTGGACTCCGCCCTTTGCAGCCCCATGTCCCTTCTCGGCCGCCGTTGGGGCGGCGCGAGTCACGCCTCGTCACGAGGCCGCATAGGAGGAGTGGCCTTCCCCATCCGGGGCCCTGCGGCAGGAAAAGGGGCGTGGCCAGCCGGGGCGCGCCCGCCCAATCCTCGCGTCGGGTAAGGCGGGCAGGGAGGGGGCGGGCGGTGGCGGGAGGAGACAACCAATCAGAGCGCGGAGCCGGGCGGCGCTGGCCAATAGGAGAGCGCGGGGGGCGGGGCCTCGCTCGCGCAGGGAGGGGGCGGCGGGTGGCAGCGGCCGCGGCCGCCATCTTGTCGCGGAGGAGCCGAGCGGAGCGGGCGGGACCCGGCGGCGGGGCCTGGACAGCGATATTGGTGCGGGGCCGGGGGCGAGCCCGGGGGTCCTCGGGGGCTGCCCCGGGCTGCAGGAGCGCGGGGAGGCGGCCCCGGGGCCGGCAAGCGCGGCCCCGCCTTGGGGGAGCCGGCGCCGGGCCTGAGGGGGCCGGGGGGGAGCCGTGAGGGGGAACCGCCCCCCCCCACACCGGGACCCGCAGGATGGGGAGCGCTGGCCGGGACCGTGACCCCCGGTCGGGCACTTCCGGGGATGGGGAACCCCCCCGGGTTGGCTCCCCGGGGATGGGGAACCTCCCGGTTAATGGGGAACTCCCGCAGGGGAGGCCCCGAGGGCGGGATCGCCCCGGGATGGGACCCCCGGGCCCCCCGGTGCTGGGAGCGCTCTCGGGGGTGGGGGGCGGGCTGTGCCTGGGTCTGCGGGGTGCTGGTGGGGTCTGATGTCCCTTAGTGCCACCTCGCTGTCCCCAAGTGTCCCTCCCCACCCTTCTGTGTGTCCATACATCCCTGCGTGTCGCCCTGTCCGTCCCTGGTGTCACCAGGGCGGTGACAACCAATGGGACAGCGCGGGGACTGTCGCACCTGCTGGCCCCGCCCGTGACCCCATTCACCTGGTGTCACTCTCTGTGTCCCCGCTGTCACCTGGTGTCACCCTCTGTGTCCCCGCTGTCACCTGGTGTCACCCTCTGTGTCCCCGCTGTCACCTGGTGTCACCCTCTGTGTCCCCGCTGTCACCTGGTGTCACCCTCTGTGTCCCCGCTGTCACCTGGTGTCACCCTGCATCGCCCTCTCCATCCCTGCGTGTCCCTCTTTGCCACCTCCGGTGTCACCTGGTGTCACTTCCAGCATCATCCCCTGTCCCTGGTGTCACCTCTCGTCAGCCGATGTGTCACTGTGTTCTGTTCAGTGCCACCCTGTGTGTCACCCTCTGCTGTGGGTGACCTCAGGTCCCCACAGATGTCACCTCTTGCCCCCAGCATCACCCCGTGTCTCTCCCAGTGTCCCCGCTGTCCCCAGCACTGTCCTCGTGTGACCCTGCCTGTCCTCTGTCCTTGTCCCTAAATGTCCAGCTGACCCCTGGCAGTCCCCAAATGTCCAGTTCCTTCCTGTCCCTGTCCCCAGATGTCCCCAGATGTGCCCTGACCCCATCCTTGTCCCCAGCTGTCCAGCTCCTCTCTGCCCATGGATATCCCTACCCTCTCTTTGTCCCCAGCTGTCCCCATGTGTCCCCTGACCTGTCATTGTCTCCAGGTGTCCCAGCTGTCCCTTGACTTGTCCCTGTCCTCAGCTGTTATCTAGCTGTCCCCTGACCCTCACCTTGTCCCCAGCTGTCCCCATCCCCACCTGTCCCTGTGTGTCCCCTCTCCTGTGCCCGACTGTCCCTGTGTCCACCTGTCCCCAATTGTCCCTGTCTCCAGATGTCCCCTGACTGTCCCTGTGTTCAGGTGTCCCCTGAGTGTCCCTGTCCCTGTGTGTTCCTGACTGTCCCTGTCCCCAACTGTCCCTGTATCCAGGTGTCCCCTGACTGTCCCTGTCCCTGAGTGTCCCCAGCTGTCCCCAGCAGTCTGTGACTGTCCCCAGCTGTCCCTGAGTGTCCCTGGTGTCCCTGTCCCCAGATGTCCAGCTCCCCGCTGTCGAAGAAGCGCCGCGTCTCTGGGTCAGAGCCACCGACGGGCTCCAGCCGCGCCCCTGCCCCCGCCGTGTCCCCGAGCGTCACCCCCGCCAACGTGAGTGCCACCTCCACCCCCTCGGGGACCCTGCACCACCCACGGGGGCTTTGTCACCCTCTGGGGAGCCCCTGGTGGCATTGTCACCTCTGTGGTGCTCAGAGCTGCTGCTCGGGGCGCGGTGTCACCTGGTGTCACCTGTGGGTCTTGGGAGTGGCGTGTGTCTCTTGATGTCCCCTTACTCTACTCAGAGTCATTTGCTGTCCCTTGTGGGGTCCCTCTTTGTCCTGAGGGTGACACTTGTCCCCCAGGTCCCCAATGTCCCTCCCACCATGGGCAGTGTCACCCACACAGTGTCGCCTGTGGGTCTTGGGGGTGACACATGTCCCTCAGTGTCCCTTTGGTCCCCTCGGGGTCACTGTTAACAATGCTTTGGTGACAGTTACTGTCCTTTGCTGTCCCTTCCTTTGTCCTGAGGGTGACATTTGTCCCCTAGTCTGCAGTGTCCCTTCAACAATGGGCAGCATCACCCACAAGGTGTCACCTGCCCAACTGTTGTCAGCACAGAGTGACACCACTCTGCCATCCCCTGCCACCCCTTGGGGGTCCTGCCCCCTGTCTCAGGGTGTCACAACACCCATTGTCACCCTCAGTGTCCCCGTGGTGACACCGCTGTCCCCTCTGTCCCCAGGGAATGGCGAAGAACGGGGCCGAGGCCGAGATCGATGAGGGGCTCTACTCCCGCCAGCTGTGAGTGAGGGGGACATGGGGGGGACATTTTGGGGTCCTCAAGG